GACTTCAGCCACCACCGGTTGATGGTCGGAACTGAGATCGTTGATCGCCATCGGTTTGGATAGTCCAATGTTCGATAGAAAAAAAAGTCCAACGTGGAAGGGTTTCCCGCCGGAGAGATGAATGTCGGTTCATCAGGGAATTTCACTGTATACAGCCCATGCTGCGAGTGGTCGAAGAGCAGACGTCCGTTCTGATTCCGCTGATAGTTCCGCCATGCTTCGTGGCGGGCATTTAAATCGCCCTCAATGACGAATCGTGAGCTCGTGCGAGTGATGGTGGTCAGATCATGCTTGAATTGGATGCCTAATCCATTACTGGCAGCACACTGCCCAAGTAACAATTTCGGTTTTATAAGGGTTCTGGAGACCATGATTTAGACTTGTAGCATACTTTGAAACCTCCATAAAACTTGCAATGTTACTTGGGTGACGAGGGCAGTATACGGCGACGAACCGGACGTTTCCGGTTGGTGATTCCACCTCCACACTAAGGGCCTCGATGATAGAAGTGCGAATATGCGGCAGCGTGCAGAACTTGATTCCTTTCTTGATGATGATCGCAACACCCCCCCCCCCCTGGAGTCAATACGATCAAGCCGGATAATGTGGTGATCAGGCAACCAAAAGCTGTCACCGGATTTAAGATGGGTCTCTGTTAGGAGGCCCACGTCGATACTATGCTTGCGGAGGAAGTCAGCAAGCTCGAGTTTTTTTTTGCTCTTACAGAGCATGCGTTCCATGTGACGACAGTTATCGGTTTAGACACCATACTGAATAATAAACTTACCGAGCACTTGGATCTGTTCGGGCTTGCTGCGGCACTGGCGAAGAGCGCTGGTCATGTCGACGAAAATCTTCATCAGCTCATCCGCAGAGAAGAGATCGGGATTTGCGTTTTGTGCTGGTGGTTGTCTCCAGAATCCAGGGGGGATGGAGAGCTTTGTCCAGCTGAGGCACCAGACGTTTCTTGGCGGGGGCCGGATTGCACCCGTGGATTTGCTTGACCGTGTTGCGTAGCAGGAAGAGGCGGGAAATCCTCCAGTCTGAATGCCGGCGTATTGTCCTTCTTTCGTCCTGGTTGATTTCTTGTGGACGCCTGCTTTCGGATCCGTTTGAAATCTTCGCGTTTGGGGCACTGTTTGTCGGACCCTTGATGAGCGCCATTACAGTTGGCGCATTTGGCCGCTTCCGACTCGTCGACAACACACTCGGAGGAGATATGGTTTTGGGCGCATTTGCCACAGCGCGGCTTGACGAAGCAGTTTCGGGTGCCGTGCCCGAAATTCAGGCAACGTTGACACTGGGTGACGTCGTGACGGCCGCCACGGTATGGCTCCCATCGGACAATGATGGAATTGATGGAGCGGATAGCCTTCAACGCATTGAGCGTCACCGTTCCCTTCTGGAAATGCACCAGGAAAAGACAATCTGGATACCTTTTGACGTTCTCGTCCCTCCTTGTCATCCGGAAGACGGCAGTTGGAGCCAGCTTGTAGCGGTTCTTGATTTCCGCTTCAATCAGCTTCGGGTCAAAATTCGGTAGACCCCTGATGACGACCTTGAATGGTTTCTCGCCGGGAATGTCGTGGGTGAAAAATTCCACCTTGGTAGTCCTCAGGTGGGCAACGACCAAGTCATACACTGGAGTCGCTTTTTACGCGGTTTTTTTTTACGCGGTTTTTTTTTACGCGGTTTTTTTTTACGCGGATTTTGGAATTTACGCGGTTTTTTTTTACGCGGATTCCGGAATTTACGCGGTTTTTTTTTACGCGGATTTTGGTTTTTTTTTACGCCGATTTCAGAATTTACGCGATATATCGCTTTTTACGCGGTTTTTTCTTACACGGTCTTTTTTTACTCGGTTTTTTTTTACGCGGATTTCGGAATTTACGCGGTTTTTTTTTACGCGGATTCCGGAATTTACGCGGTTTTTTTTTACGCGGTTTTTTTTTACGCGGGACGTATCACCCGCGTAAAAAGCGACTCCAGTGTACTCCGCTTTCGTGCGGAGCATAACCTTGGTGCCGGCTCTGCCCAACTTGAATTCGGCTTTAACGCCCAGCGAAGCCAGATCTGCGATGAGATCGTTAAGATGGGCATTTTTTACTACCAACGGAGGTAGCTTTACTTTTGCCGTGCTTGTGTCGGCAACGTCACCGAAATCTCCGACATCACTACCGTTTGTCGCAGTAGCATCGCCGCGAGAAATCGTGCAATCGGACTGGCTCCGATTCTTCTTCCTCTTCTTGCTGCACTTTCCTTTTGCAGCTGGCTGGGTATGCTCATCGATGGGAAGAACAGCAAACCTGTTCGATGTGGGCACACCGGAGCTTCCTTCTTCATGGTTCTGGTCCTTCACCGGGCTTCGCGAGCGATGCTTCCCCATTTCGAGGCACACACACACGTACAACTGACCACGACAGAGAGAGCGCGAACACTAGCTAAAAAACTTACCGAACAACTCAAGAGAGCGAGCTCTAACCGAACTAAACTGCTTGACGTTCAAGCAGAGAATGGGGGTACATTGATTTGTTATGATTCCCCTATTAAATATCTGATAACAAGTGATCTATTGATAACTAATAGAGAGATTACGCTAGGCTCATTCAGCTTCGGAAACACTTAAGAGAGACCTGAGCTAGCGAGAGTGAAAAGGCTCAAATGAGAGAATATTGAATCTGCTTATGGTTGTGAAAGAGACAACCCGAGTAAAAGAATAGAATCTATACTATAAATGAAAATTGAATTTCAACAGAAATCACAATCGCGGATTGCTACTCGCACAGCCGGCGTCGGTGGTGTAGTGGTAAGCGTGACTGCTTTCTAACACCCCAATGGGTCTGGGTTCAATCCCAGCCGAGGTCGGTGGGATTTTTCTGAGGCATAAAAATCTCTGGTCACGTCTTCCTTCGGAAGGGAAGTAAAGCCGTTGGTCCCGGCCCATGTGTGTTGTGAATGGGTGCGATATCCTACGCAGGTGTGGAAGCTGCCTCCCTGCACATTCGATTGCCGTCAATGGATGGCAATCGATGTCCGTCGGTGATTGGCACTAGATTGCAGAACAGAGACCGACGTTAAATAAAGGAAAGAAGAAAAGAAGATTGCTGCTCACAGTTTGACGAGGAAATCGTCGAAGCTTTCACTCGGTTGCTGGTCTGTTTTTAGGAACACGTATGTACTGTATGTCGGATTGGCTGTCGAACTGTACGCATCGCCAAAAGCTTTTTTGATCGCTTCCTGGTCCTGATTTTCCGCCTCGGTGAGCTGCAGTCCTTTGAATGTCCCGATGACGTCTGAACCGAGACTGTTCATCAGAACTCCCACCTGCCGCTGTGCTGGCAGGTCTTTGATTCCCGAAGCTTGCTCGAACCATAATATTGTTGAATCCAGTCGTTCCAAATACGTGCTTTATCTGTATGGTTTTGGATGTTTATGCGATCTGGAGGGTGAGCTAAAAATTCTGCACCATTGGCCATTTTTCACCAAATTGACATATCTCGAAACGGAATTTCAACCGTTGGTCCCAAGTAAATCTATAAGCGTGCCCTATTCTAGTCGAAGTTCTAGTACTACACTATGTTTGTTTTGATTAGCTATGAAATTTTGACAAATAGCATGAGGGGTTCGTGGATTTTCCTATGTTTCGAGACCGATTAGCTTGGGACCGAAGATAGTACCAGCGCTGAGCCAAAAAGTTGAGCACGTTTCTTCGGAACCTTCTGATCTTAGAGTTACCTCTATGATCATACCGGAAAAGAATAGGGAGTGTGAGAGCAGTACACAAAGAACAATTGTACCAGAAATTCAAGAACAAAACGTTTGCAAATATATCATTCCATTAGATTAAACTATCGCAACGGAACTTAGAGACAATAAAATTCGATCATCGTTTCACAAAAACATAGCAGAAAAACGAGGACAAAATGGTTGCGAAAAACTAATTTAATTAAATTATCTCGCGCAAAACCCGGAACTAACATAAAACGCGACCGTACCGATCGGCTACTCACACACAGCACTCTGAGTTTAGATGAATTTCAAATACGAATAAAGATAAAATCAAGAAGCTGGATAAGATTTTGGATAGCATGTTCCGGAACTTGTCAAATTATCAGATGACAAATTTTTAGTGAATGATAACTTCATCCTGTGACATCACCAACTCATTAACGTGCTTGATAAAGTTTAATAATATGTGATTTGAGTCACAGCACGGTCCGGATGCAGCTAAATCCATTTCGTAACCACAGAATTTACGCTCCAAATATTTAAATACCTATGCTTACTATTTAAATCACGCGAAAATGAATTTCATTCCACACTGTAAAAGAGGATAACCGCACCATGCAGGAACTATTAATTAGTAGTGTTCGATTTGATACATCGACGGTTTCGTGCCGATGGGTAGTTCCGCTTATGTGGGCAAAAAATTCCCCACAAAAACCGCACAAAGAACCCTTGATGCATGCTAATCGCATGGAGTTACAGTTGCAACAATATTCGGAATAATTTGTCGGTCAGCTGGCTGCATTGTTAATTTATGACATGCACACACACAACAACGCATCATTAGTTTACATTTCTTTCCTTTCCAACAGTAAATAAAACAAATTAGAGTTAGTTTTTCATTAAAACATTCGATTTGAATGTGTATAATTTATAACCTGCGTCCGAAACTTTGGCTTGCTGTGAAAAGCGAATCAGATCAGCGAATTTCACATTTACTTAAATATATCACATGTAAAACACTCACTACCAACGAGAACATAGACAGTAACTGTTTATTGTGTTGTAGTGTTGTGTTTGTAGCGCTACAGACTATGCAGTTAACAGTTAGTTTATCTAGGTACCTACTTTAAACAGTTCCTCGATCAGACTGGAATTGATTTTTGTGTTCTACTATTAGTGTCTGTAAATATGCCACCTTTGTCACTCCCGGCCGACATCCGTTTTCTATGTTTATATGTAGTTCCATGAAGTGTATAACTAAACGACTAAAATTATGACTTTAAGGCTTTGGTTTTGTATTGTATCTATTGTGTCTGTACTATATTTGTGATTCAGATTCTCGTTTGTCCTTAAACAATTTTCAGGTAGACGGGTTGTATGTCGGCATACCAGGCCACTTCTCCGTGGTGGTTCGGAATGGTTCCCTCCTTGCAGGTCAGCCAATAGGTGTCCATGAGGCCTTTGCCTTTCACGTCGATTAGTCCCCGGTGTTCGGTTTTGAAGCCACCAATCTTGACCAGTTCGTCGTTCATCTCGGTGGAAATGTGGATTTTTAGCGCTAAAACGAAATAAATTACTTTGGGTTGTATTTGCGAACTTTTCGATTCGATTTGTTCATTTGATAAGGTTCAATCGCGAAAGTTCAACGAAGCATTGCATGTTCAGCTATAGAGTTCCAGCCAGTTTCCAGATGTTCTTAGAATAGCGCAGGGGGTAATTCACTCTAACACATTGTGCTAACACCCACAGAAATACCCTTCCGCCGCATGATAAGCAATTTTTAAATCAATTCTTGCGCGATAAATGGAAACACGAAACTAGCTGGGATCCACGAAGGCAGCAGGATCAGGAGGAACAGATGCTAAACAAGGTAAAGATACTTTAACTATTTATGTTTGTATTACTTCTGCGTAAAGTTAACGATTTACATAGTTGATGATGCTAATTTCAAATAACAGTCTAAAGTGGTCATTTTTATACGACGTGATGAAAGTATACAGTTGATAGTTCCGTTAGAGTACGGCAGTGTGAAAATTGTATATAGATAATAGAAAGCGAGCAAGGACAACTTTGATGAAGGTACGAATTGGGTTGATCATCTCTCTTTACCAAACTCCCCAGGTAGAGAGGGATGGGGTTAGGGGTATTCCATTATCTGAACTGTTTCAAACACATCGTTGGTACAAGAGCAAATCGGTGATCATCTTTTTGCCAGTGGTGGCGGGGAGATACCCCTCCCATCCCTCTCCAACTGGGGAGTTTGGTAAAGAGAGATGATCAACCCTATTCATACCTTCATCATGTGGGAGTAAACAATGACCACCTTCTGCCTAACCTGAGATCAGCGTGTCATTACCTCGATGTTCACACCAATACCAACAAGCAGCGGCGAACTGACGATGCAATTCGCTGTGACGTTTTTTATTCGTATCTTTTCACTTGAGTAGAGCAGACAATAAAGTACAATTTCCGTGCAGTTAAATCCGTCGCGTTTGGTTGTAGTTTCACCACAGGTTATGGGCCCAGCAAGTGAAATAGTAAAAAAGTGAACGGGTAAAGAAAACGACGGTGGAAAACTGAGAGCGAACATTTTTTTTTCGAGAAGTTTTCTTCCACGCGGTTGAGACCGGAGCAAAATGGCGGACGCTGCGAAAGTTTCGTTCCCCAAGTTAAACCAACAAAACTGGGCGTCGTGGAAACAGCGAATGGAGTGGCTGTTGGAAAAGGATGACTTGTGGGAAGTGATTCGTGTCGCGGCGCCAGAACCTGTGACGGATGAGTGGCAGAATAAGGATCGAAAGGCTCGGGCAAATATTGGGCTGTTCCTAGAAGACAGCCAGTTCAAGTTGGTCAAGAGTGCAACCAGTGCGAAGGGTATGTGGAAGCAAACGATGTCCACTATCGTACATTATATGGGTTTGCTGTGTGGTGCGAATATGAGTGAAAGTGATAGCATGGAAGATCATTTGAATTCCATGGAGGGATTGTTCGACAAATTGGCAGCCGCCGGTCAAAATTTGGATGTACCGCTGCAGATTGCGATGATTTTCCGCAGTGTACCGTCGTCATACCGTACGCTCGTACAGAGTCTGCAAACTCGGGCGGATGCAGACTGGACTGTCACGTCGGTAAAAGCAAGTTTGCTGGACGAATATAATCAGCGCATAGAGCGTGGTGAACGCGAGTCGCGAGATCTCAAGGCAATGAAATCGGACGCGAGTGGTGAACAGAAGGAAAAGTTGTGTTTTTTTTTGTAAACAACCGGGACACTTCAAGAAGGACTGTAAGAAGTGGTTGTCTGCAAAAAGTGAAACGAAGAAACGTCGGGAAAACAAGGAAGACAGCTCGAAGGACAAAGGTGGGAAGACTAAACAGGCTCACGGAGCTGGAAGTGCGGTTTGCTTTATGGTGGGCGGCGGTCTATCTGGTTGGATTATCGATAGCGGCGTGACATGCCATATGATCAGTGACCGGTCGTTTTTCGTGGCGTTGAAAACGTGTGCGGTTTCGAGTGTGACACTCGCGGACGGGAAAAAAACCAGCGTCAGCGGTGCGGGTCACGGTATCGCGTTCGGTGTAGACGGACAAGGTGAAAGTGTCAAGATTACGCTCAAGGATGTATTATACGTTCCGGAACTCGATGGAGGGCTGATATCGGTTAGTCAGCTGGTCGCGAAGAAATTTGTTGTGGAGTTCAACGAGCAGATCTGTGAAGTAAAGAACCAAGCTGGTGAAACTGTCGTCGTCGGAGATAAAGTCGGCTGTCTCTACCGACTTCGAATGGAGCAAGGTGCCAGGAAGATCGGCAGCAGCCATGGAAATTGTCAGCACCTGTGGCACAGGAGGATTGGCCATCGGGACCCCGATGTCTTGCGTATCATGGAGAAGGACAAGTTGGTAAGTGGATTCCAGTTTAAAGATTGCGGTATTAGAATCACTTGTGAGTGTTGCCTGAAGGGCAAGTTAGCAAGGAAACCGTTTCCAGCTAAGCCGGAGAGAAGCACCTCACGTCCTCTGGAGATAATCCATACCGACTTATGTGGTCCCATTGAAACCGTTACTCCTTCCGGCAATCGCTACATAATGACTCTAATCGACGACTTCAGTCGTTATGCGGTGGTGTATTTGCTTAGGAAGAAGAGTGAATCTGCCTCAAAGATAAAGCAGTATGTTCGCTGGGTAGAAAATGTGTTTGACAGAAAACCTCTCGTCATTCGTTCAGACGGAGGCGGTGAGTTTGTAAACCGTGAACTGCAAACATTCTACGAAAGCGAAGGGATAAAAGCACAGCTCACGACTCCGTATTCACCCCCAACAAAACGGGGTCACCGAGCGGAAAAATAGATCGTTGCAGGAGATGGCGATTTGTTTGCTGGCGGATGCGAACATGACCAAGCTGTACTGGGGTGAGGCAGTTATGACGGCAGCGTACCTGCAGAACCGGCTGCCTTCTCGAGTGGTTAAAGGAACACCGTTTGAGTTGTGGACTGGCCTGAAGTCGAACATAGGACATTTCCGTATTTTCGGCTGTGAAGCCTACGTGCACATCCCGGATGTGAAGCGATCAAAGTTGGACCAGAAAGCAGTTAAGCTACGTTTTGTCGGGTACAGCGAAGATCATAAGGGTTACCGGTTTCTCGACCAAACTACAAATCGGATCACTATAAGTCGCGATGCTAAGTTTCTCGAGCACGGTGATGGATCGGAGCATCAGCAGCCAGACGCAGCTCGCAAGGAGTCTGAGCAGGAGATTGAGATCTCGTGTAAACCGTTGGAGCCGGAAGGAGAGCTGTGTAGTGACAGCAGCTTCGAAGGTTGGGACGATGCTACAGACAGATCAAGTGAAGAAGATTTTCTTGGATTTGGCCCCGAAGATCAAGCGGAAACATCAGATCCAGAAGTCATTGTCAATGAGGAGGATCGTGAATTACGACGTGAAGATCGTAGATCGCGTGGTGTACTGCCGAGTCGGTATGATGACTTCGTTGTCGGCGTAGCTGAGTGTTCCATGGAAGAGCCGACGTGTTGCAAAGATGCTGTCAAGATTACCGAATGGAAGCAAGCAATGGACGCGGAAATGCTATCCCATGCTGAGAACCAAACGTGGGAGCTGATGCAGCTGCCGGAAGGTAAGAAGGTAATAGGATCAAAGTGGATATTTAAGCTGAAGCGGAATGAGGTCGGCAAGGTTATCAAGCATAAGGCGCGCTTGGTAGTCCAAGGTTTTAATCAACGGTTCGGCATCGATTACTTGGACGTGTTTGCTCCGGTTACTCGTCTAGCAACGCTTCGTGCAGTTCTGGCAGTCGCTGGTAAACGGCAGATGATTTTGCACCACTTCGATATAAAGACCGCTTACCTTAACGGAACTTTGGAGGAGGAGGTTTATATGCGCCAACCTCCCGGGTATGAAGCTGTTGGGAAGGAGAGTTTGGTTTGTCGGATCAAGAAAAGTATCTATGGCCTCAAGCAGAGTGCTCGATGTTGGAACCGAGCTTTGCATGAAGTACTGACTCGCTTGAACTTCAAGCAATGCCAGTCCGACCCGTGTTCGTATTTGCGTCATGACGACGAGAAGACAGTTATTCTGATAGTATATGTTGATGATCTACTGGTAGGTTGTAAGGATGAGAGTGAAATACGTGCCGTTTATAACGCCCTACGTGATGCATTCGAAGCAACCAACCTAGGACCGGTGCGACAGTTTCTTGGATTGGAAGTTCTGCGTGATGAAGGTTACTACAGCATCCGTTTAACCAGCTACATTGAGACATTAATCAGCAAGTTTGAGTTGACCGATTGTAACGTATCGAAGACGCCTATAGAAGCAGGATACATGCGCGCAGGGGAAGACAGTGATCAGCTTGTGGATGCAACGAGATATCGCAGTCTAGTTGGCGGCCTCTTGTATGTCGCGGTCAACGCCAGACCGGACATAGCAGCATGCGTCTCTATTCTCGGAAGATGTGTGAGCCGACCAACAGAAAGGGATTGAAAAGCAGCTAAGCGTGTCGTTAGGTACCTGAAAGGGACCAAACAGCTTCAACTGAAATTCGGACGAGGAGATGAATGGAATCTAATTGGCTACTCCGACGCCGACTGGGCTGGCGACCAAAATAGCAGACGATCGACTATAGGATTTATCTTCTTCTTCGGATCGGGGCCTGTTACCTGGGTTAGTCGACGCCAATCATGTGTGAGTTTGTCCTCAATGGAGGCCGAATATGTAGCACTGAGCGAAGCATCCCAAGAACTGGTCTGGTTACGCAGACTGTTCAACGAGATCGGCGAGGATACCAGCAAGGCGACAACAATATTCGAGGACAACCAGAGTTGCCTCAGTTTTGTGAAGGCGGAGCGTACCAGCAAACGATCAAAACATATTGATACCAAGAAGCACTTCGTGAAGGATCTCTGCGATCAAGGAGACTTAGAGCTTGTCTACTGTCCATCAGATGAAATGACTGCGGATGCACTCACTAAACCTTTGGGTGCCGTCCGTTTTCGGGAAATGCTGGAGCGAATGGGCCTCGTCCATTGATGGTCGGTGTTCATTCA